TGTGTAAAGTTTATAATTAAATTCCAACTGCTCTTTTTTAAGAGTTCTCAATATCTTTATAGACAACAACATTAATATGATAAAATTCCTGAAAGTTTCTAAAAATTTGTATAATCAAATCTTTTATTTTATATTTCAGAGACGCATGTAGTCTACTACCAGGGAAACATAATCCCAAGTTAGAACTATTTACCACAGGAAGGACACAACATACAGAAGAACAAGTTATTGAAAACACACATCTACCACTGGAAGTATTTATTAAACTCGTATGTAACCAGGTGTATATACTGAATGATGAACTATGTCAAATGTATGAAGTTCAGTTAAAGTTGAAATTCTACAAAGAACAGAAACGGCACCTTTCCATATGGTTTTGATGCTTCATCATCCTTTCGTCAAATGCAAGAGCTGTTCGATGAGGTGGAACAGTAAGATCTGTTTGTCTTATAAGTTGTTCTACTCGTTGTTCCAGTTGTGTTTTAAGTTCCTCACCCCAGTTTACATAAAAATAACTTGTTGGATAAGTTTCTTGTATCTTGGGCTGTCCTCGATAATGAATTTCTGGTCTATGTCTTTCAAAATGGAAAAAAAATACAGTTTTTACTGAAACGCCCGAAGTATTTCATTTTTTTGAAAAATGAATAACACTGAAAGTCAGAACTGGTTCAAACAAAAATTAATTTATAAAAGTAGTGTTTTTCAACAAAGATTAACATGCAATCGTGCTACAATATTTTGGTGAAGTTATTTATATGTAACACAAACACACACACACATTCAGAAAGAGCCTTTAAAGCTATTTGGTTTACTAATTTAAAATTAGAACTTGGACTTTCTTCACCTCTAAATTATGTCCCACTCCCCCTGGTAAATAAAAGAAAATAAAGTCTGACTAAGTAAATAAATCACTGCTTCCAAGAAAATGAAGTCTGACTAAGTAAATAAATCACTGCTTCCAAGAAAATGAAGTCTGATTAAGTAAATAAATCACTGCTTCCAAGAAAATGAAGTCTGACTAAGTAAATAAATCACTGCTTCCAAGAAAATGCATGACCAAGACAATACCATCCATTAAAAAATTTGAGTTTTCCTCTCTGAAAAACATCATATAAGGAAAAGGGGGCACTTTTTCTTCTCATATTGATAGTTTAGGAGAAGACGACAGAGTGTATTATCCGAGTCATGAAAGACTTGGTTTTTACAACCAAGATAAAAACGTAGATAGAAGAGTATTCAACCTTTCCCAAACACATCAGAGAAAGATAATATTCTCCATAGTGAAGATAATATCCTCAGATATAAGATCACAGTTTTCCTCTGAACATGAAACAGACAAGAAAAAAGTGAATGAATAAAAGCTGTAAATGGAATACATAAATAAAAATGTTCAAAACAAACTGGTTTAGTTGAAGTCTTTGTTTCCACTAGATCTGGGTGATTCAATAGACTTGTTGATATAATTAATTACCAACGAGCTGCAATTACAACAACTAGTGTCCTGCAAACTAATCAATTAATCAGAATTATGATTAAATCAGATTTGATGACAGGAACCCACTTTGAGACTAATAATGCTTGGAGACGGCTTAAATAGGTAATGAAGAAAAACTTTTATATAAGCATTATGATTAAATCAATTAATTGAAGTTTGTGTCTCCAATTATTAGTTTTTGATTATTACAACAACTAATCTAAATTCTGATTATATTGATTGTCACAAAAATAATCAACTGGACAAAATTAGTGTTTCCATCGTTACTGTTTTCAATTAATCGAACAACTGATTATTCAAAATTATGATTAAATCGATAATCATGAAAGTAATCAACTAATACAATTTAGGATTTCCAATTATATTAGCAGCTAGCTCTAGTTATCAAGAGTTTGTTTGTTTGCTGAGTTTTGTGAAAAGGCACGAGAGCTATCTGGACTAGATTTACAAGTGATAGACTGGAGGGGAGGGAAGATAGCTAGTCAACACCACCCACTGCCAACTCTTGGGCTACTCTTTTACCAATGAAAAGTGGAATTAACCATCACAGTATAATGCCCCCATGGTTGAGACGGCAAGCATGCTTTGTGACGAGATTCATACGCAAGACCCTCAGATTACGAGTTGAGCACCATGACAGGTAGTCGTCAACACACTTTCTATAAACAGGACCAAGGACTTAATACCACCAACACATAACCAGTTCTTCTTAGGACTTCACTGAAGATAGCAACAGATCAGCAATCAAAAGATAGATTAAAAAAACGAATAGTTATAAATAAAAAATAAATGATGTAATAAAAGATAAAGAAAAAAATTATTTAATAATTTATAATTTGATTTAGGTGGTCATAAAGACAACTAAAAAACAAACGAACATGACAATGACTGATATTTGATCACCACAATCTCACTACAAAGTTCTTGTCTTTTTGAGTTATTATACATAAGTTGTCATTATCTATTGCAGAACAAAGATCACGTAGTTCTTAAGAGTGGTTAAAAACAAGGTGACCAATCAATTATTGGGAACCATTCATCCAAAGATACAATAGTATATTTGAACAAAGTTATTAATATCTAACAAAACGGTGAAGTCCAAATTACTTAATTTTACTGAGTGATTATAGTCATTTGTCCAAAGTTATTAATATCTAACAAAACAGTGAAGTCCAAATTACTTAATTTTACTGACAGATTATAGTCATTTGTCCAAACAGAGTTATTGATATCTAACAAAATGGTGAAGTCCAAATTACTTAATTTTACTGAGTGATTATAGTCGTTTGTCCAAACAGAGTTATTAATATCTAACAAAACGGTGAAGTCCAAATTACTTAATTTACTGACAGATTATAGTCATTTAGTCCAAATAGTTATTAATATACTAACAAACGGTAGAAGTACTAATTACTTAATTT